ATGCATTGTACAGCTTAACCTACAGGAAGTGGTCACACCAGACAAGCTGTAAATTACTATAAATTAAAAAGGCAACATGGCGTTTGATTTTGTCACTAGGATGTTTATCTTAAATAAAATACAGCAATTATAAGAACTTCTCTAATGTTAATAGATGCATGTTTAACTGACGTCTCAGTGCATAAACCAGGGCCATCATGGGCCCCACTACCTCTCTGTAACGGTGCATTTCTGTAAGCTGAGCTAAACTCTCTAAGCTAAACTCTGCCTCCAGAATACATGTGCAACAGACAGTCCACTGCAGAGTTAGCAAAACCCGCTTCAATGATCTTCAATGATATCCCAGTGACTTACATAGCAGAGGTCTTGTTTAACTTGTCCTTTTAAGAACATAGACACTAAACTTGTCAAATTCACACATTATCACATGTAATTAATTTGCAAACCTTGAAGAATAAAATACAATTTAATCACAGTGTTTGGGTACTGTGTACAATGTGTAACTGATTCAGCCAGCTAACAACACTCACTGCCACTTTCATATTTTGCGACTATCTGACGGTCACAGAATTAAAACATTCTTTACAGAGGTAACTGGCAGTGCAGGAAGAAAAAGGGTAACAAAAACAAAACACTACCAACCCACCCAAAATCTGGATAGGCATCATTCAGGCAAGGAACACTAAGGGAAAAGTGCTATGAACAAACTGGAAATGTGGTAAAGCCCCTACGCACCCATGGACAGATGGCCTGTGGAATGGTTGGCTTTCTCCGCAGTAACATTCTGTAGGTTAGTCACGATAGTAGCAGTAGGATCTTAAGACACACAAAATGGGTTCAAAGGAAGTTGTAAAAAATAGGATGGCTAGCAACCTGTTCTGTCTAAGCCAGGATATCCGAACACGCTGTTCACTTAAATCAGGCAAAAGACATCTGGCCCTAGCCCACCGTGGCCATGTAACGCACCTGTGGAGAGCTGAGTGACATGGCGCTGTGTGACCAGCATGGATCGGTCCGGCAGAGTTAACAGCCTCGTTGCTGGACCTGTTTGGGGAGCAACAGTAGAAGTTGGGGAAGCTGAGTTTAGACAAAAACAATAACGCTGTTCAGTGCATATGGTGCAGATTATAACAACTACATTATGACAGTCACATTAAATCAAGCAAATACAAATGTAAGAAGATTTCAGATGACTTAAAGATTACATAGCTTTACTGACACTGACATGATCTTCTGTGTATATGTCTTTAAACCATTTTCTATACCGCAGTAATTTACACCCCAGCATCTTTCAGAGTCAGCTTGTTTATGGTGACCCTGAATGACCGTCGATCCGTTATTATTGTCGTACAGAGAAACTCTTCTTTTGGAAATGAAGGTGTCTGACTTCTTAGATTTAAAAAGAACATCCGCATCGTTACAGGGATGGCGACACCAGTACTTGTAAACGTGCAAGTAATCGGCTGGATACGGACAGTCGATGTCCACTTGTCCTCCTACAGTACATATCCCCGCACTTCAATGATCTTCGACGCCAGTGCAAACCGCAGCCCTCCGTTAATTAAAAACAGAAAAGAGAAACTCTGGTTTCATATATGATAGAAATATCTGAAATGTTATTTCCAATTTCAAATATAAATTAAACAGTAAACAGTCATTTACACTACACAGAACTGTAGTAGAACAATTCAAGATATTTATCCATATTCGCGTACATTCTGTCCACATTTTAACGTTTTAAACGAATAAGCCATGTGAACCATTGATGAAACACGTATACTTACCTGGCAGGAAAACAAAAATCTGATAAAATAATTTCATCCTGAATTCACTCGATGGTAATGATAGAAGCGACACTGGCGGAAAGTCGAAGTGTCAGTTTCCGGATTGAAATGTAGCTTACAGTAGCCTATTAAGTGTTTTTTAGGTAGGTCTAGAAGTTTAAGTTGTTTTGTCTTTTTAATAATTATGTGAAACCCCAGGAGAAAATGACAGTTTGAGAAAAATAGTATTCGAAGGCGCCCATTTAATGAAGTCAATAACAAAAAGACATTCATTTATTTGGCTTTGTGTTACAATACCTTCTCCTTAGATACATTTTAACAGGGTGGCAGTGACCTCCACCATCATTAGTTTCTGCTACGGACTGTCATTATGAGGCAGGGCTGGTCCCCCCTATAGGCGACATAGGGCACCATTTGTGTAAGAAGCACAAAAGAGCAAGTGAAAAAAATCAGATGAAATACATTAGATTGCCAAAAGTATTGGGACACCCCTCCAAATCATTGAATTCAGGTGTTCAATCACCACCATAGCCACAGGTGTATAAAATCAAGCCCCTAGGCATGCAGACTGATTCTACAAACATTTGCAAAAGAATGGGTTTCTCTCAGGAGATCAGTGAATTCAAGCATGGTACTGTGATAGGATGCCATCTGTGCAATTGGTCCATTCGTGACATTTCCTCGCTACTAAATAATCCACAGTCAATAGTTAGTGGTATTATAACAAAGTGGAAGCAATTGGGAACACCACAACTCCCATGAAATGGTAGGCTGCGTAAAATCACAGAGCGGAGGCAACACATGCTGAGGAGCACAGTGTGCAGAAGTCGCCAACTGTCTGCAGAGTCAATAGTGACAGACCTCCAAAGTTTGTGTGGCCTTCAGATTAGCTCAAGAACAGTGAATGTCATGGAATGGGAATCCAAGCCTTATATCACCAAGTGCAATGCAAAGTGTTGGATGCCGTGGTGTAAAGCACGCTGCCACTGGACTCTAGAGCAGTGAAAACCTGTTCTCTGGAGTGACGAATCATGCTTCTCTGCCTGGCAATCCAATGGACGAGTCTGGGTTTGGCAGTTGCCAGGAGAATGGTACTTGCCTGACTGCATTGTGCCAAGTGTAAAGTTTGGTGGAGGGGGGTTGTTTTTCAGGGGTTGGGCTTGGCCCCTTAGTTCCAGTGAAAGGAACTCTTAATGCTGCAGCATTCAAAGCCATTTTGGACAACTTCATGCTCCCAGCTTTGTGGGAACAGTTTGGGGATGGCCCCTTCCTGTTCCAATATGACTATGCACCAGTGCACAAAGCAAGGTCCATAAGGACATGGATGAGTGAGTCTGGTGTGGAGGAACTTTACTGGCCTGCACAGAGCCCTGAATTCAACCCAATCGAACACCTTTGGGATGAATTAGAGTGGAGACTGCGAGCCAGACCTTCTCATCCAACATCAGTCCTTGAACTCAAAAATGCTCTCCTTGATGAATGGTCAAAAATTCCCATAAACACTCCTAAACCTTGTAGACAGCCTTCCCAGAAGAGTTGAAGCTGTCGCTGACAGTATGAAGCATCAGTTTCCGGATTGAAATGTAGCTTTTAGTATTTCAGGGTAAGGAGCATGCACTGATTACAGTGTGTTTCCACACGACAAACCATGTCAGGGATGAGAACCTGAGTGCAACCATGTGAAGGGTGATACCTCAGCACCACACTAGTCCAAACGGACCAGTATGAGGTTTTTCCCGGCAGTTGGAGTGTCAATTGTGCCACCAACCCCCAAGTTTTTTTCCTTTGTAAATTGGAGGATCTTCTTATAGGGCTGGATGTAGATTGATATCACACCCAGGATGGAGCAATTGTAGGTTAAGGGCTTTGCTCAAGGGCCCAATGGCATTGAATGACTCTGGGCATTCACGAGATTTGAATCAGCAACCATCCATTTACTGGCATAGATCCCTAGCCTAAGAGCCACCACTCCACCAGTATTTAAAGGCACCCATTTAATTAAGTCAACAACAAAAATACATTTAATTTCTTTGTTACAATATCCTTTCCTAAGACACACTTACAGTTTTACTCAATTGCTTTAGAGAATTTCATTGCTATATGCATGAACTGTTTAGAATGTTAAGTATGTTTCATGATATATGCCAAATAAATCAAGAAAAACTCTAACAGAGCGGTCACAACCTCCATCATTACTAGTTCTTGTTACTGACTGTTATTATGAGGAAGGGCCAGTGTTCTACCCATTTTTTCTACCTGACAAAAACTGCTTCCAAGCGCTTCTGTGCATGTGTAAATCAACATTACATCATATAAACTGAATGGGTTTGAATTTGATTTTGCGGGTCAAAATTGCTTTGGGCAGGTGAACAAAATTTGGGATCCATTTGGCAGTTTTCATGCATTGTATGGGTTAAAACCTAAAAGTGCATATTGTAGCACCAGCAAGATGGTTCCTCATACCAGAACCCGCTAAGACCGCAGAGCATGCTGTCCTACCACAGCGTGCCCTGAAGCCACCTCCGCCAGCCCACCGGACTGTCCTACCACAGCGTGCCCTGAAGCCACCTCCGCCAGCCCACCGGTCTGTCCTACCACAGCGTGCCCTGAAGCCACCTCCGCCCGCCCGCCGGTCTGTCCTACCACAGCGTGCCCTGAAGCCACCTCCGCCAGCCCGCCGGACTGTCCTACCACAGCGTGCCCTGAAGCCACCTCCGCCAGCCCGCCGGACTGTCCTACCACAGCGTGCCCTGAAGCCACCTCTGCCAGCCCTCCGGTCTGTCCTACCACAGCGTGCCCTGAAGCCACCTCCGCCAGCCCACCGGTCTGTCCTACCACAGCGTGCCCTGAAGCCACCTCCGCCAGCCCGCCGGTCTGTCCTACCACTGCGTGCCCTGAAGCCACCTCTGCCAGCCCGCCGGTCTGTCCTACCACGGCGTGCCCTGAAGCCTCTCCTGACTTCCCACTGGCTCCCCGTCTGGGATGGTGTCAGCGACCAGGGAAGGCAGGAGCACCTAGACCAGAGGTCAGCAACCTTTTTAAAGCAAAGAACCATTTTATCCTAAATGTCTGACCCATGATTTTCAAAGAGCCGCAATGGAATAAGAAGATGGTATTAAATATGATTTTTTAATGCGATATGAGTATATTGCATTTAACACAAAAACAAAACTTAAAGTACTTTAAAAAAAAAAAGAAAAACAATTTCAGGGGGCATCTCAGTTTTAAATCACTCGTAACAGCACAAAGGTGACTAATATCACAATATTCTTATTGTTTAGTTCTGTACCGATAGTCTTCACCTTCACCTAGTTCATTTGGCTCTGCAGTCATTCGGCCTTCACTCTCCACTTCACTACTTGTAACTGTGCTGACCGAGCAGCCAAAATATACTCACCACTCCGCACTCAGCTGGCTATAATATGTAAATTGGAGAAAATACAATAATTTTACGAAGACCTGGGAAGGCATGGTGATGATTTACTACAAATAGTATATGAAATAATTAAGAATCCCAATAAACTTTGAAGCCTATATCCAATCTCGGACACTGAAGAAAAATCCGGAAAGCGTACCATTTGACCAGAGCCGTAATCTTGTCATAGAGAATGACTTTGATTATGCAGTTAAGACATCACAGAAGTGCGCGACATACCACCTCATTCACATATAGCTAAATGAAAAATAAAAATAACCCATAAATAAATTATTTTTATTTATGAAAGTATTATCATATTATGTTAAGACATGAAAATATGAATGCATCTATCGTTCTGGGAAGAGATCAGCTTGATCCAGTGATCTGGATTAGCTTGTTGGCAGTTGTATACAGGCCAAAGCCATATTTTCTAAATCAGGCATTAGAATAAGAAACACAAAGACTGCAGACAACATCTAGAACAAAGTGTTTTTTCAGGGTATCAAACATCAGGTTATCAAACATAACTGGTTTGGTTAAATCAGTTTTCTGCCAAGTTTATGATTTTAGGACAGAGTGCCCTCTAGTGGTTGTGTGTACACATGCACACGCTACCCCAAGGCACACAGAGCAGACAGAATAGAATACATAGCCAGCAGCTCACACATGCGGCCTGGAAATGGTTAATTTGCTGCAGCCAGTCAGAAATCGACAAGAGAGTAGAGGGAGTTTTCTGTCATTTCTAGGTGAGAACTGCTGAATGAAAGCATGTGGTAGATTTCAGGAGAATCCATCTGGGGAAGATCAGCAGGGTCATGCAGTGCAACTTCATCATACACATGGCCACGGTCCGCTCCGTCCTGAATGACAGAGTATTACTGTTAGTGTGGGAAGAGGGGCATCAAGCAGGAGTATCTCAGGCATTTAAAATTCAAGAATATGACTAACTAAGGATAGGATTAGCTAGGTAAGGGAATCTTAGACTGTGAGTGGGGGGCATTTACAGGTTTCTAAGAATGTGTGAGTAGGCAGGGTATGAGAAGAGAAGAGAAGAGAAGAGAAGATTAGTGTTTATAATGAACCTCAAACCAACATAGGATGTTAACTAGTAGCTAATTACTATTGACTAAATACAGGATGGTTCCAATGTGACACTCAATTATTCAAACATATTCAAAGGGAATACATTTCACATTAAACTGACATATCCCCTTTAATCAAATTTTATAAAAATGATTTACCTGTACATTGTGAACAGGGACAGCTAAATCCAAAGAATTTGATTCTACAAATGTAAAAGTTTGTTAATACTAAAGAAAACTCCACTGGTCTCATTATGTTTTCAATAAATTCCCCCTGTGGTCAAAAGTATAAGGAATATCTCATTCTTTTGTTGAAATGAAATTGTGCACTAATGCAAACTCAGTGTCAGAATATGTTAAGATGAGCAGTTAGTAGTAATTATTAGAGTATAAAACAACACAACAAACCGAGTAAGTACCACTAAAGTCACATTAAGTGAATTACAGAGCAAGCTTATAAAGTGTATGAATTCTCTTTAGAATAAATGGTGTATAAATGATCATGATTGGAAACATACCTTGTGACTTTGACGTTAATCGTTTTGAAAGATAAGCCAGTGACACCAGCAGGAAGCACATCAGCAGCCCAAAGGTTGATCCAAGCAAAACTGTGCTACTAACAGGTTTGTCTATTTAGAAAATGTCAGGTTTGGTTTAATTAGATTATGTTTTGCCCCAGCAAAACATACTAATGATAAAATGGAGTCACATTCTGTCTTTAATATACAGGCAGGGATGAAAGTAAGCCGGGTGTTCTGACAAAACATCCTACAGTACATATCGAGACGTGCTATCGAGCCTTTCTGCGCATGTGCAGTTCCACCGTTTTGGGATTAGGGTTAGGGTTTAGGGGTTAGGGTTAGGGTTAAGGTAAGAGTTTTAGGGGTTTTTGGGGGGTTAGGGTAAGAGTTAGGGTTAGGGCTATCGATTAGCACTACGGTAGGATGTTTTGATAAAGTAGGACGTTTTGTCAGAACACCTGTACGCTCCGGTACGACGTACCGTTATAAGATTTACAGCCGGTACGTAGTACTGGTAAGAGTAGAGGGTCTATGCGGTCTAAAAAAACACATTTACAATGAGTAACGTCCGCTGTTTAAGTTGAAAACACATCTACCCACAAAAAGTAATTTGAGACATGCATTCGATGAAGAGAATAGCGTTTAGGCTACTCGAAATAGCTATTAGTTTGTGGTGCACTTGCACGCGTCCGCTGCAGACAGGTCTTTTATTTGCGCTCTGTCGGATTTTGGCAGGGCGTTTGGTGTGAAGAATCCNGTGTCTGAGACACAGCCCTGCAGCCTCACGTATTGTGGCCTTCCTGTCAGATAGTCCATAATCCATGAGACTAAGGGGGAGGGAACCTGCATATCAGACAGCTTACTCCCCAGTCGGGCAGGCTGAATGGTGTTAAAGGCACTGGTGAAATCAAAGAATGTGATCCTCAGGGATCCTCCAGGATTCTCCAGGTGGCTGTAGGCACGGTGCAGCAGGTAAATAATGGCATCATCCACTCCAACCTTTGTCCGATAAGCAAACTGAAGTGGATCGAGTGCTGGTAGAACTACTGGGTGGAGTGAGACGAGGACCAGTTTCTCAAAGACTTTCATGCAGTGAGAAGTGAGTGCAACTGGCCTGTAGTCTGATGGGGCACAAGGTCGTGCCTTTTTCGGGACAGGGACTAGACATGATGTCTTCCACAGCACCGGAACCTTCATGATATTTAGGCTTAACTTGAAGATCTTGTGCAGAACTCCGCATAGCTGGGAGGCACAGGACTTCAGAACCTGTGGGTTTATGCCATCCGGGCCCGGCGCCTTTTTAGGGTGAAGTCTGGATAATTGTCTCATCACTTGATCCTTAGTGATGATGATGCTTGTTCCCTGGTTGTTAGTGTTTTCATCCTCAGAAGAAGTGGTGGAGACCCTTCCAGGTGCTACAGTGGGAGGTGAAGATGGGTAGGATGGGGGGCAGCATATTGGTGATGTACTGCTGAAGCTGGACACAAGGGCATTGGGTGCTGCGAGGGTCATGCTGGAGGTGGAGGGGCCGTTGGGCTGAGGCCCATTGTTGAACCTGTTAAAAGACTGGTTAAACTCATTGGCCTTCTCAGCATCACCATCAATCACCTGTCTGCTGGACTTGAAGCTAAAATCTTTGTGAAAGAGACAAAGACATTACAAAAATTATCAGAATGATTATAAAAGTATCAATATGACCTAATTATTATACAAGTATATATGCAAAAAACAAACAAAATACTGTAGCTAAATCATTTTCATTGGGATGAAATTCTAAGTAAAATCCTCAGTGGAAGGATGTCTGGCAAACCAAATATATGATTAATACCAAATATTACTCTGGCCTGTGGTGGTCAAGGCCTCTTCAAATCTGGATTAGCTCGTTGATTGTAGTTATATAGCCCAAAAGTGATATTTCCTAAACCTGGCATTGGAATAATAAACACAAAGACTGCAGACAACATCTAAAACAAAGTGTTTATTCAGGGTATCAAACATCAGGTTATCAAACAGACTATCACACAGCCGCCAAAGCAGTTTTTCACTGAGTTTTTGATTGTAAGACAGAGTGCCCTCTAGTGCTCGCATGTACACATGCACACAAACACACTACCACAAGGAACACATAGAAGAGACAGAATACAGTAGCCAGCAGCTCATACATGCAGCCACAAAATGTTAATTTGTTGCAACCACTGGAGAATCCACATGAGAGTAGAGAATGCTTGTCATTTCTAGGTGAGAAACGGCAAATTAAAGCATGTTGTAGATTTCAGGAGAATCCTTCTGGGGAAGATGAGCAGGTTTGTACAATACAAATGTCATATCATCATACACACAGCCAAGGTCCGCTCCGTCCTGAATGACAGAGTACTACAGTTAGTATGGGAAGAGAGGCATCGAGCAGGAGTATCCTCAAGTATTTTAAATTCAAGAATATGATTAACTCAGGATAGGATTAGCTAGGTTATTGAATCTTAGACCAGTGTTGGGGGGCATTTACAGGTTTCTAAGAATATGTGAGACAAATAGAAACACAAGTGAGGCTGTGTTTAGAATGAAACTCTAACCAGCACAGGATGTTAAGTAGTGTTCAGTTACTATTGTCTGTAAATAACAACAAATGACATGCCCCTCAATTATTCAAATATAAATACAAAATAAGAATACATTTCATATTAAACTGACATATCCCAATTAATCAAATTTTATAAAATGATTTACCTGTACATTGTAAACAGGGACAGCTAAATCCAAAGGATGTAATTCTACAAATTTATAAGTATGTTAACGTTTAAGGAGGACTTCATTTGTGCTATTTTTTTTTTCAAGAAGTTCCTACTGGAATCAAAAAAAGTTTATTGGATCTTATTCTTTTGTTGAATATGAAACTGTGCACAAATGCATACTCAGTGTGCATTTAGGTATAAAGTGTATCACTACTGATTAGATTAGATTAGATTAGATTAGATTAGATTAGATTAGATTAGATTAGATTAGATGGTGTATAATTTATCGCAATTGGAAACATACCTTTGACTTTGACGTTAATCGTTTTGAAAGATAAGCCAGTGACACCAGCAGGAACCACATCAGCAGCCCAAAGGTTGATCCAAGCAAAACTGTGCTACTACCAAGTTTGTCTATTTAGAAAAGGTCAGGTTTGGTTTAATTAGATTATGTTTGGCCCCAGCAAAACACACTAATGATAAAATGGAGTCACATTCTGTCTTTAATATACAGGCAGTTACTTCAGCCTCAATGCAATATCAAATCATAGCTGCTAAAAAGGAAGAAGGCATCTTTATGCATTGTACAGCTTAAAACACAGGAAGTGGTCAAACCAGACAAGCTCTAAATGACCATAAATTAAAATAGAACATGGCATATTATTTAGTCGCTAGGACGTTTATCTTAAGTAAAATACAGACTTTATAACAACTTCACTGAAGTTAATAGATGCATGTTTAACTGAAGTCTCTGTGCATAAACCAGGGCCCTCATAGGCCCCACTACCACTCTAACAGCGCATTTCTGCAAGCTGAGCTAAACTCTCTAAGCTAAACTCTGCCTCCAGTACACATGTGCAACAGACAGCCAAGAGTGTTAGCAAAACCCGCTTCAATGATCTTCAATGATGTCCCAGTGATTAATCAGAGGACTTGTTAAACTTATTTTTACAAGCATATTAACTAAAGTTGTCAAATTTGCACATTATCACATGTAATTCATTTGAAAACCTTAAGGAATAAAATAACACAATTTAATTGCACAATACATGGTTACTGTGTACAATGCATAACTGATTCAGCCAGCTAATAGCAGTCAGGGCTATGATGAACAGTGAGTGAGGATAAACCTACAAGAGTGGCAAATTTCAGCAAGCCTATCTTCCACCTTATTTTTGTTCCTAAAGAATTTTTACAGTGTGAATAAAAACAGCATTGATTACTGAGACTAACACCATACTCATGTCTCACACCTTCAGCCACTAATCCAGGGCTGGGCACCTGCTCACCTGGCATACTGAGCATTTAACCATCAGCACAGCAAAATGTATTGTGGGGACCTCCTACTCTGCAAAATTTTGGAGCCGTGGGGGACCCCAAAGTCCAGGGTGGAATTTTAATCCCGGTTCAGCCCTGTACTAAGTCATATGACTGAATTGTAACTTTCATATTTTGCAACTCTCACAATTACAATGTTAAAACTTTATTGACAGAAGTATCTGGCAATACAGGGACAAAAAGTGTAACAAACAAACAAAACATTACCAGCCCACCAAAAACCTGGATAGGCATCATTCAGGCAAGGAACACTAAGGGAAATGTACTATGAACAAACTGGAAATGTGGTAAAGCCCCTACTCACCCATGGACAGATGGCCTGTGGAATGGTTGGCTTTCTCCACAGTAACGCTCTGTAGGTTAATCACGATGGCAGCAGCAGGATCTTAAGACACACAAAATGGGTTCAAAGGAAGTTGTAAAAAACAGGAAGGCTAGCAACCTGTTCTGTCTAAGCCAGGATACCTGAACACGCTGTTCACTTACAGTAAATCAGGCAAAAGACATCTGGCCCTAGCCCACCGTGGCCATGTAACGCACCTGTGGAGAGCTGAGTGACCTGGCGCTGTGTGACCAGCATGGATCGGTCCGGCAGAGTTAACAGCCTCATTGCTGGATCAGTTTGGGGAACAACAGCAGAAGCTGGAGAAGCTGAGTTAAGACAAATACAATTAGGCTGTTCAGCGCATATGTTGCAGATTATAATAACTACATTAAATCAAGCAAATATAAATGTAAGTTCAAATAAGATCCCAGATAACTTAAAGATTACATACCTTCACTGACCTTGACATGAACTTCTGTGTATATGTCTTTCCACCATTTGTCTATTCCACAGTAATACACCCCAGCATCCTCCAGAGTCAGTCTGTTTATGGTGACACTGAATGACAGTCCGTTAGGATTGTCGTACAGAGATAATCCTCCTTTGGAAATGTAGGTGTCTGACTTCTCAGATTTAACAAGAACATCGTTACAGGGATGGCGACACCAGTACTTGGCGTAGTGTAAGTAATCGGCTGAATACGGACAGTCGATGTCCACTTTTCCTCCTACATATCCCCGCACTTCTTTGATCTTCGACGCATGTGCAAACCGCAGCCCTCCGTTAAAAACAGAAAAGAGAAACTTGGGTTTCATATGATAGAAAGATCTTAAATATTCATTCGAATGTCAAATAAAAATTAAACCGTAAAGATGTTACATCAGTTACACCATATTGAACTGTAGTAGAACAACACAAGATATTCTCTCTTTGCCCACATTTTAAACGAATAAGTTGTGTGAATCATTAATGGAACACGTATACTTACATGACAGGAAAACAAATATCTGATAAAATGATTTCATCCTGAATTCACTCGATCGTAACGATAGAAGCGACACCGCCGGAAAGTCTAAGCGAGTTCAGAGCGGATCCCTTCGTTTGATATACAGTAATTAGTACAGCGCTGACAGTACGAAGCGTCAGTTTCCGCATTGAAATGTAGCTGACGGTAGGTTATTAACCTATAAAAACCTTTTATACATGTCAGCAACAACTAATTTTCCTGTAAGAACAATATGCCCACAATGAAGGGATCAGTAGCAATCCTAAATGTAATGTGACAGATATTTATTTAATCTGAAAATAGAGTGGTAAATAGACCAGTTGTAATAATTGTAGCACAACAATGATAAAGGACATTGATAGAAAGATGTTTTGGGAATATTTTCCAAAAAAATCCCAAAGATTCTAACTTGTTTCAGGTTCTCCAGTTATTTGTTGTGGCAATCAGTTGCAAGTGACTAGTTAATAACAAAAGATGTCAACAAAATATTCAATTTGAATGCATTTCTTTTTACATTGATTAAAAAACCCTAACAGCACTGTGTCTGAATTTGTCCAGTTGACTAACATAGTAATCATGTCCAAATTTCACACCTCTTGAGAAGTTTTTGGACCTAAGCTACATGAGAGTGTTGTCACTTCCTCATTTTGCAGAAATCCAACATACATGGTGGCAACATTTTTTTGGTTAGCAGACACTTCTATACAAAGTGAAATACAATTAATAATGCAGGTTCATTTAGTCTCCAGAGCAGTTGGGCTTAGAGGCCGAACAGAGACATTACTATGCTGATCAAAGGATTTCAACCCGTTACCTTTCAACCACATATCTAATTCTCAGGGCCACACACCAACCTGTCAGTTACAGAAAGAGAAACTGTGACAGACAAGCAAAACATAACCAGCCCTCAAAACCTGGGTGGGCAAGGAACACTAGGGGGAAAACGGCAGAAGCAAACTAAAAATATGGTATCAGGAGGAGCTGGAGAAACACAGATACAAATTAAAAAGGTTTTAAAAGAACTTGCAAACAGGAAGCCTAGTACCCTGGTCTGCACACAACACATTACCAGAAATCAAGCAGTTAATCAGGGAAAAGAAACCCAAAGTTAAAACAAAACAATTTAAAACAAGAGTCTGCAACCTTATTTACTGTGAGAGTTATGTCTAATAATCTGGAGAGTTATGTGTTCGATATATAACAAGGTTACATATCAAGCTGGAGGTAGTGATGGTAATGGTTTCAATGGGGGGGTGACAATCTTAATTCCTCATGCATGTCCATTCTGCAGTGCATCATTAGGGGAATAAATAGCTGTCCTTTTCTGACACCAAGTTAGCCAGCCAAATTCACTCTGTGGGTGCGTGCCATGACTGTGCAGCGTTCATCATTCCAGATGAAGTGAAAGTCCTTGTGGTGCCTCAATGTACATGTGTATGACCAACATTTTTTAAAGAATATGAAATGAACAATTGATCTAACTTGTAAAAAGTCATGGGGCCCCTTCATTGTTTCTCTGCGAGCCACTAGCAACTGATTTTATAGATTACATGCATCTGCAGACATTGAATTAGGCCACAGAAATCAAACACTGTAATTAATAACAGCCCAGAAGAATGTTAAATTACTCTAACAAGTAATGCTGAAAAGATATCTGAAGATACCCGACCATGGCCATGTAACACCTGTGTAACATGGCGCTGTGTGACCAGCATGTATCGGTCCAGTGGTGTTAACATCCTTGTTCCTGGGAGCACCAGTAGATGCTGGAGAGATAGGGTTCGGACAATTACAGTAAAGCTGTTCAGTACACATTGTCTATGACAGCTGGTACAGCGACTGTAGGTGCAGAGTCGGTGTCACTAGTGGGCCCACTCAAACCAGTGCCACCCCTGTTGATAACTTTTATGGTTGCACCCTGGTACTGTAACACCACTGGTTCCACCCCCCATTAATATCCCACCTATGGGATTTGTTCTCGCCCCAACCCTGGCAAAAGGGTTTAGTGATTTTAACAATTATACTCCAAATAAAACCTGGTTCAGTAAATACCAAAGGTTTTTTTTTTACTGAAGGCAGGGATAGTCAGCCCAGAAAGCAGCTCAGGTGGCTGCATGGGGCACCAACCTTGAAGGGCAATTTCATTTTGTTTCTGACAATGAACACTGCGCTCTCACATCGTGAAGCAAATAAGTGACAATCCACAATGCAGTGAAATTAACTGCACACAGAAATGCTTGTGTGCTCAGCAGTGCCAAGACAGAACAGCTACACAACGTGAGGGCAGGGAGGTGGTGTCAAAGATGGTGTGGTCGAGAAAAGTGTGACTGAACTGGGGAGAAATATTTCAAAATGAAGAAGCAAAAGCTTCTTTGCTCAGATCAATGCCATAAAAGGAAAAGGACGAAGAGGAGAGGTGTACTAAACACAAAGGACAGTAAATTCTGTCATCGCTCAAAATATTCTCCCATTGGGGGTATCAAAATTAGCACGGTTAATGCGACTGAAAGAATAATATGACTGAGGGTGTTTTCACACTTGGTACATTTAACCTTTAAAGCCAACTCAGACTGATTAGTCAGCATTTTTTGCATATATGTGAACACGCCAAAGAAACTCAGACCCCTTTGAGGTAGTCTCAGTCCAGTTCGCTTTTAGGGTGTTTTCATATATAGTCCTCTTTAAAGGAAGCGAACTCAGACCTCTACAAGTGGTCCCAAAAGAAAGGGAACTCAGTTCTTTTTGTGTTAAAATGCGAGTTCATTTGAAAGGTGACTCAGTTCAAGTTAAATGAACCGTGACGCGGACTAAAAGCAAACCAGACTGAGACTACCTCCCGATGTGGTCTCAGTTCAGTTCGTTTCAAAGGGGTCTGAGTTCATTTGGCGTGTTCACATATACACAAAAAATGCTGACTAATCCATCTGAGTTCGCTTTAAAGGATGAAATGGACCAAGTGTGAAAACAGCCTAAGATACAATATTACTTATGGCATGTAACATCATATTATTTATTGCGTTATTATACTAAACAACAAACAATCTTTATTTTCTGCCCTGACTAAAGGCTCCAGTATAAACTTACCTGTGAGGGGAAAAGGATCAGCAGAGAACATCTGAACATCACTGTGATACACATCTGGGCTGATGTTCGAAGGCCAACTTTGAAACAAGAGGACCTTGCTGTTCATCTCAAGGCATCATAGATGTCCATGCATAAACCCTGCACAGGCAATATGCACCCAGAGGCATACAGGACACAATAGGGCAGTGGTGGCTTAATGGTTAGGGAAGTGCAAAATTGAAAGACTGCAGGTTCGAATCCCCGACCAGCAACACAACACTGAGGTTCCCTGAGCAAGGTACCGCCCCCAAACACTGTTCCCCGGGCGCCGAATTAGCTGCCCCCTGCTATGTCACGATGTCACGTATGGGTTAAATGCAGAGGACACATTTCGTTGTTGTGCACTGTCAACACTGATCACCAAATTATAAATTAATTATATGCAGAGTAAATGCCGGTAGAAAAGATGAACAGTACTTCCACAAACTTCAGAAACAAATGGAACTGCACAATACAATTAAATTAACCAAATACATATGTGAAGACTTTGACCGCCAAGAATATTTTTATAGTCAGTACCTGTGACCAGGTGCCCTTGCAGGGACAGACTCCAGGCTGCACGTGACTGAATACTGCATAAGCAGTACGAAGTGGATTAACATAACATTATACACCTAAAAAGGTCATGTTTAATGCATTTTTAAGTTTACAGTATCAACACTGATATGCAAAAATAATCTTATCCCTTCAAAGAAAAAAATATTTTCTGTTTTGGACATATTTTGGGCAACAAATATGGATAATCAGTTTGTTATACTCTAAATTTCTCTAAATATCAATCCCCAAGATTATTAAAAATTTTTTTTTTTTTTTCCTCATGATAGATTCACAGAGGCAGGTAAAATGTACATTTCTCTCATTTTGAAAGACATTTCAATTAGCACTGCAAAGGGAAATGTATTTTTAAAAAGTTTAGAAAGGATACAACAGAATACTGAACAAATGGGGGATTCCAAACCACATCCTTCTCACGTACATTCCAGAATGCCTTCTCTTTTCCACCATAATTGAAGGAAAGTGCAGCGGGAATACCATCAGCATTCTGAATGTTTATTAATCATTTATCCAATCAGTAATACATATATTTCCAAACTGTCAGTTTGCAATAAATCTTGAGCAAATACTAGGATTATGATTCCTAATGTGGTCCTAAGAGCTGCATTGTATGCATTTTTGCCTTTGGCACAGATACATACTATGCATGGAAAAATCAGTCATTGATTCTTTAGCCTTTCAGACTTTTCACATAAACTGGCCTGTCGCAAGGCTCAAGACCTTCTGCTGATAAATAAAAAAAGGTCACCTTGAATTCAACATAATGTCCATCTACAGGCTATACGGGGTTAACCTGTACACCTGCAACAAACTGTACTACATCACTGCATTTAAATTGTAGGTAACACTACAAGGAGAAGAAACTGAGCACATTACAGCAAATGAGCAATACATACCAAGTCTTTTATATTCAGATCTAGAATATGACTGGGATACATTGAATGGCCCTGTTATAGAGTATATGCCTGTTTTGAGTTTGTCCTGCACACATTCGCCGAATACTTATATAAATAACAGTCAAGTATTCCAACATCACATTGGTCATCAGAAGTATCATGAATCCATACAATATCTTGAGAATAAAGTTACTAATTTAATTGTAGGGAATTTATCTGAATTACTGTTTCAATGCAGCTTGAAGGTTAACTTTGTACATGCAACAGACGAGGCTCAGAGAATGATGAAACCTGTCCCATCACACAGTATCCAGAAGGTGGCAGCATTGTAGTCATGCTCGCACTGTAGCACCTCCTACAGTTCTTCAGTGTCACTTGTGCATCCAAGATTTGAGTTTATGGGGAAACATTTTTTTAAAAGCCTAGAGGGGAGCAGGGGCGAGGTAATGGCGGTCCTCTCACTGGTACTGTCTGTAGTCCCCAAAGGGTGAGGCTGGCATGGGCGTGGTCTCCTCTGCAAACTGAGGACCTAGGGGCGTACAGGTGCACAGATGGGCTATGTAAACACGTGCATTTTAACCACACGTTATAAGGGCTACTTTGTGGAAAAATGTAACACTAACTGGGCTCTCACTACAATTTATCAACTGTAAAAATTAGAGGAGTTTCTTACTTAATACCAGAGATTCTAATCTACTCTGAGCCCAAGACAATGGACACAGAAGCCACCTAAACCTCGAAAATATATAAATCCACTTGACCGGCAACAATGTTGCATTCCCCATATGGTTCTGAATTTCAACATGCTGATATAATGCAGTTTTGTGAAATTACTGCGACACTCACCGGTTGGAAATTGTGAAGACGCGAACCGTGTGAGCAGGATTCCGGCTCCCTCGATCAGTGCCAGGAGTACGCCTCCTACTGCAGCAGAACCCACCATAGCCAGAGGCCCGTCTGACGTAAGGAACAATGAAAGAATCAGACCACACCAGGTTATCAGAATCCCTAAATGAGTACCAGTTTTACATGTATGGTGCATTATGAAGTCCTCCTTTGACTTAATCCCCTTCAAACAGCACCGTAATAAATTAATCGCAGCATTAGAAGGGTACATGTGCCGCTCCACATGAGCATTCTCAAATGCATTTGTGCCTTTGGCGAATGAGCCAGTTCCTGTGTGTCTGCATCCGCTTCGGGTCGTCATGGGAACACTTACTTCGTGCTGCCAGAATGGCCCCCGTCATGGCCCCACTAGTAATAGAGTTCCAGGGGTCCTCCTTCCCTCGCACCTTGACCAGCCCACAATCGATCATAGAGAAGAGGCCACCCCATACTGCAAAGCTACCTGGTGGACATACACAGGCGTCTCAAGACATGTCTATGAAAACCCCCAAGACAAGTACAATTAATCTACCTCTGTCTGTTAGCTAATTACTTAAAAAAAAAAAAAAAAAAAAAAAAAAAAAAAAAACTACCCTTCAGCAAGAAACTACACTGTAAGATGTATTATTTCCTCCAAAGACAAATAACCTACAATTGAAGGACACTTTTTCCCTTGGGTCTCAGGAGGATATTACACAGCTTGCACTGCTCTGCACTATTTTATTCCTTTATTCTATTATTTTATTTCTGCTAATCTATTTTTCTTAATTTATGTTCTTATTCTTCCATGCTATTTGTGAATGTAACCACCAATACTACCAAAACAAATTTCTAGTACATGCAGCTGTACCTGGCCAATAGAGCAAACTCTGATTAAAATCACCATCAACATTTTGCTGAAATAAATATCTTTCCAATTACTGTCATGAATACAGCAAGCTGATGGTCACCTCCAAGCTGTGGAGCTCGAGTCTTGATGGCCGTCATGCTCCCTCGTAACCTGTGGCTCATTCCCTAGTGAACAAAAAAATCTTCAGTTCAGTTCTCCAGGACCCCAATACTTCACAATATTAGCATCATTAATACAACATGTAAGACAAGTCTACAAAATGGAAAATATGACTGCCCCCTTACAGCTAGAACCACCTGCATTCAAGATGTACACCTGTTATTCCCTACCTTAGTTAAGGCAGTCATATTCTACTTGATGCATGGACTAAGCAGGTATGTGTTGTCTGGTCAGTCCTTGCACAGTTATTTTACTTGTATATAGCCAGGTACCCTACATACAGTATGTGCTGAATTGGGCCCAGCCTCAGGGTGATTTTGATTTTCTTTTATTTTGTTCTATACTGCTGAGACTGCCTGCTAATGTTTGTCAATGGCAATAAAGTTCCAAAAACGCACGTAAAGGAACAACAAAATATAACAATAACAATACACTTACTACGGGTGAATTTCTGAAGCCTTTGACTGCCTGGAAGATGCCGCCACCGATGGCCCCCATAGTGAACGCTCCCCCGCAATCGTCCACGATTCTCCAAGGGCTGTGGATATTAGTATACAGTTAATCAGTAAGGCAACGATGAAATCAGCGAGCATACTCTAATATTTAAACATAATTACTAATTTAGCGCAGCCACGGTGTTCAGGGGACAGACCTATAGTTCGATACTGATCGATGCTGACAGTTTGCGACCCAACCCCACCACCAAGCATGCAACACGTTAGCAAAATAAGTATACCGATTAACGCTCTATTTCGTTCTCAATCAACATTTATAGGTATATCAAACACAAATACATAAATATACAAAGGTTTTCAACAGTGCAGATATTCGATTAGAATGCCCGATACAACATGTAAGACATCGAAGGTTAGCTACCTCAACAAAAATAGGACTCGAAAGTAAAAAAAAAAAAACGTGCAGCCTTAGAAACGTAAACACTATATAGTTTTCAGACGTTAAGTTTCCTGTCGTTCGTCATTCTGGCCGGCAGATACTGTAACTTACACAAGGTCAACCGGCGAAACACTGTCACCGGCCAAACAGATATCAGCGTATAAAGATGTTTTTCACTATGCTTTGTATCAACCGAATCGTTTATTTAAGGAAATATGTAGTCTGTTAATTAATTTCTGTAGTCAAGTAAAGACAAAACGTTTAAAAAGATATTTACCATGGTTCACGTGCGTATTCCTCCATTTTCTTCTGGCTGTCTCACTGCGGCCTCCCCGGTGAAGGGTAGCTGATTGACGTCACAGCAAACGTCACAGCAAAGAGCCTTTCCGGAACAAACTGCGGACACGTGACTTTTCCCATCCACTTTTATTCAGACAGGTCCACCACAGGTACATGCCTAGGCACAGACCAGTCCAGGCCTGATTATCCATCAAACTGAACTGAACTCTTATAGCACATTTTACTATTAAAAAATTTATGAACTTAATGTTCATTAATTTAATTTATGAACTTAATGTTCATTACCTTAAAATTCTATCAGCATTACCTCCGTATAGTTCCTGCCAGATTATGACCCTTCAATATTCTACATTTTATAGGACTTTTATAGGAAATTTAGAGATGTACACCTTACTGTGTTAGCAAGGGATTAATTAGTAGAATTATTTGATAAAATGTCGCAATTGTACCTCTTTAAATGTGTTTAACCTCTTGAAACAATGAAGATAAGATATCACAAGCAGTCAATGGTAGTCCTTCAGAAGAGAGCTCACTATTGAATCCATCTTCCAAAACTACCTTCTAGGGTGAGTCTGTTTATCTCAGGAACACAGGGCACAAGGCAGGGGACACTCTTTATGGGTTTCCAGTCCAACTCAGGGAATACCCTCAGATCCACAATCCCTGGCAGAATCCTGTGCTCCACATACACTCACAGACTCCAACCATGTAGGAGTGAGGCTACAAGCTACATGTTGGCTATTGTCCCACTTTAATTCAAACGAAATATAAATTTGACCTTCAAGTCATGTGACGGGACTTCATTGCATACTGTGGTATTCCAGGACAAGCTTTATACTGTATGCCGTGGATAAAGCCTACATACAACTTTGTATTAATATATATAAAATATGTTTTATGGTTTTCAATTTCAGTGGCATCAGGCTACTCAGAGCTTATAGAGTCCATGATTTCCTGAGGAAGTTAAATCAAGACCTTGACCTACAGTATAGACCTTCTCAACAACATGCTCTAACAGCAAAGGAAAAGAAAGGGGCATTACAGCTATAAGACTATGATGCATTGACTCTATAAAAGCCTTAATATTATACGGCTCCTGCCATGTTTATAGGCAGGGTACAGACTTGGAATGTTGTGGATATGGGAACAACATAGAAACGGTCACTGGAGAAACACCTCATGTCTAAATTGCAGTAGATATAACTAAATAAAAATATGGACACAATGGAACATATATTCTATAGTATGATGACATACTCTATTGATAACCATTTACAAGATATTGAAATATCAAATTTAGTATTTTATTCTTTTTCCTGCATTATTATTACTAATTTAAGTATCAGATGACAAAAAGCCTATGGAACCGATGAAGCAACTGAGCTTAATCCTTTGTAAGGGTACAAATAAGTTTTTTTTTTTGTTCTTGGAAATATCAGGTAAACATTTGAAACACAAATGTTTGCTGTGTGGGCTGAACTATTGCTGGTGAATAATCATAATTAGCACATTTAAATACATAAGACAGAGTCCTGCACAGTAAATAAATATTTATATTCTCCAGCAATGGAAGGAAATATTTACAGTGCTGTGGCTCTGCAATCCCCCCCCTCACCAATACCTCATCACCTTCTTCCCCTTTCCATCCAAGTAGAGCGCTCTGCAAGAACGCCAGACTAGCTGATGGCCCTCATCCCACTATTAGAAACAGCAAAGGAATGAGCCACAGACCCTTTGAGAAATGACCAAATATAGGCATTTCGTGGGTTTGGAGGGTGAGGCTGATTTGACCAGAACATAAACTGTGCCTGCTGTTCGTTGCTTAGCTGGAGAACATTTAGTTGCAAGACAACAGACTGTACCGATGTACTGCAGTTGTTTAGCAGAGGAAGCCGGCAGGCTCTCCCCTGCTGTCATGCGTGCAAAATATGCTGAAACATACACAAGTGAACAATAGTAGCTTCAATAAATAAATAAATGTGTTTGTAAGGGAGAATGTGTGTAACATCCAATAATATAATAATTTCAAAAACATAATAACTTACTATGCTATGCCCAAAAAGTTACTAAATTATTGGCTGTTTATTACAATATTGCCTGGTGTAGCAGCCAATGATGAAATAACTTCCATTAATGTATTTAAAAAAATGATTATGCTATTGACAGTTATTATGTTATTAGCTGCTAGAACGTGGAACAAAAACAAAACATGAAAAGTTGCCTTGTGAAGAAAGCAAAAATCCAGAATGACACAGTATTTCCAAAACAACAAAACAACAGTTAAACAAAAATTAAGAAGACCATGGTTGTTTATAACATCTCTCAGAGTAGAGAAAAAATGAATAGAATGAAGGAGAGTAGAGAAGGCCATTTACTGTTGTTATAAGGGGTGGACGTCTTTAGATTTTTATCGTCAAAGCATCATTGCTATATAGTGAGGGTTTAGCCCATTAGCACACAATTTACTGAGGCATCGTTTGGCAGTTTCATGCCCCAGAAAAACTCCTGTTTTGTGCTGACGGCCCCTTGTTGATTTTGTTTATGTTTCACAGCTGGGGTCAGTGTAAGAGGATCGAAATCACATGGACACGTTTGACTCTGTATTTCACTTCTACCCGGAGTCAAACCATGAGGTAAGTATTACCTTAAAAAAGAATAAGAACGTTTCTGAAAGCCAAAAATATGCCATTCAGCCATTTTCCCAGGTCACGAGGTTGAGAGTTAGATCCAAACCCTCCATGTTGGTTTGTCTATCATCAGTGGTCTTAGAAAACCCAAAAAACAGTAGACATTCTAACTCCCCATGTCCATAAGCATACATGTAATATATTATATCAAACACACAATAACAGTCTAGTACTTGAAACCAGCCATTTTGTAACAAACACATCCATTGTGTCATCGTATATGCATGTTGGTCATAATATAAAAATATGTGACTTCTAACAATATATATGAAAAGTTTTTAAAACACAGTATTAGAAATATTTGTCTCATGAGAATACATTGATTCCACTGGTAAATATAAACATTGACTGTCACTGGAATGAATCCAGATATCACTATTCCTTACATGGAAAAATGAAAGGTGAACATGCAGTTCTCAAGTGAATGCATTATATTGGATTAGCATTCTTTCCTGGATCAAAAGCATCCTTTCTATACCTGTATTGACAATCAATGAAAAAACTTTTATTTAGTACAACGCAGCAGATCTTGGGATACTGTTTCCAAACAACACTGCACTGCTTTGTGTACTCTAAGTGCTTTATTAAGACATGTACAAAATGCTATCCATTACATTATTACCTGGTTCCTGAATAAGAACTTTAGTCAGTGAAGGTCTTACTGGATTTCCCTATTTGTTTCAGAGAAGAGTATCTGAATTATTTTAGATCTTGTTTAATTTAATCTACTGTTCCATAGTAACACATGTAACATTATGTATTTTATCAATAAAGTAAACCTTTGTGCAACTCTCTTTTCATATCTCTTTTAACTGCATTTCTGTGTTTTTTTCTGGTCATCAGATATTTCTGCCACATGCAGTGCATTGTCCTGATAAATGAAATGGCAAAAGAGCACTTTGTGCAATTTGTCTTACTGCCATCTATCCGAAAGCTGTGAGATGAACAGGATACCATTCCTCTGAACAAACATCTGCATACAGTATGTCGTATGTGGCTTGTTAATGTCCATATTTTAGCGCATTTTTTAAATCTCCTTTTGGAGCTGCTTTACAAATTATGGACTTGCACTTGCCAATAAAGTAACTTCGTACAAGAGATACATAAAAAATCTAAATTTTTTGTTAAAAACTGTCAGTGAACCAGTTTGGATTCACTATTACTTTGAAAGCCATAAAGAATTCATAGTGATACATGTGAAAGATTTAATTTTCTTGAAATCAATGCTTGTCTGTAAACGAAAAATCACAAACACTGTTTTACTAACTTGAGAATACTTTACAATACACCACCACTCTATATAATATATACATGTGCCAAAAGCCCAAAACGTCTGCATTCGCACTTAATTTGTATAAGAAATACAGCTTCACCTAATTTAATGGCTTTTTAAAAACCATTGAAAACTGAATATAATATACATAGCGTCTAATGTATCGTTAATGGGTGACTAAAAATTTCAATTTCAATGGAAAAGGCTGAGAACAAATCCACTGAGGGATCTTAAAAATTAAGTTTTTTCATTGAAGGTACTTTCAGACCTATGCACTGTCATTGTAAGCCTCTTTTGAAAATAAGCTATTTAGAGACATTTCTTTGGCAACAAAGAAAGAGAAAAAAGGTAAAATACCATCCCATATTATTTTGTTTATAATTGCAGCTTGGCTAAATTGAAGAAAATTCTTGCATCTTGAAGGAATCTGTGCATTCACATTAGTTGCGAGTGGTGATGTTCAAGAGTGCCGCTGTACTATTAGTAGCAAACATGAATTGCCACACAGAAGACACAGACATATATTGTGGAGCATAAGCAATAGCACATTAGCATTCATACTGCAGGCTATGCTATGTTCAAAAACAAAACACTTCTCCACTTATTTCCTGGAAAATCTGTAGCTCCATCCTGAGTCGTTGCCAAAAAGCTGAAAGTGGGGGGGCTGATGTGTGAAAAAATGCTTGAGATGTTGCTTTATGATTCTGATAATAACATATTGGCACTAGTTTCTACTTATTTCTCCCAGTGAGCCCTTTTTAATAATTCAGCGTAAATTTCAATAGACATCAAACCCTACATTAATTTTCCGATTACAGTCCCGTACAGAATTCCCATGCTAGAGAAAATTCAGATGATTCTTCTTATTTGCTTGTAACGCTGCTATCGAATCATCCTTCAAAACTGCTGTCGAAGTTTGAAAGGCAGGTTGACAAACTCACGGATGCCAATGTCATTCCTATCGCTCGTATTTTGCTTATAACCCCACACATAAAGCACCATTCACATTTACCCACATAACTAATGACCTGCTTTGAAATCTAGTGCAATTAACAGGCAAGGTGCTGACGCATGACCAGCATATGAGCAAGACCTCTGCATCATGAAACCACTCTCCACACGCTCCCGCCCGTCACCCACATCCTGTATGGAACCACAGACAGGAACTGTACATCCAGAGCCAAGCCTCATCTTCTGTTCCTCCTGCTGCCTGCTCCACAGTGGCAAGACTGTATGCATCCATTCATCATAAATTCAGTTTTGGTCTCCTCAGGTTCTGTGAGATGTCTGTCTCCTTCTCCTTCCCATCCTCCTTCCTCCTCTTCCTCCAAGTCTTTTTTTCACTCCCCCAACCTTACTGCAGCAGCTTTGGGACGTCAACCTGAAGGGAGAGAGGACTGAGTTGAAGGCCTTCTGGGCGAACCCATCCCAAGAGTAGAGCAGAAACGGAACAATGCACCTGTGTTCAGCTGCAAGCTTGGCTTGCCACACTAAACCATTCCCCAACCTACCTTTTTGAGCTGTTTAACGTTGCTGTTTCTAATGGAGGCCAGCAGCTGATCCCTTGAATTCTTGCCCCCAGCCCTGTCAGAGCCCTTATCTCCCATTTTACGCTGTGACACAGGGGTCAGGGAGTCCCGTAGGCAGTTCATGTCCAGGACAGGACCTGGGGGTGGTGGGGGTGGCGGTGGAGGTGGTACAGCTGTAGCTCCTCCCACTTTCTTTGGGGTCACCTTGGGAGAGGGCTGGGGTGAGGGCAGTGGGGAGACTTTGGGTGAAGCCTTGGGGGAGTTCTTGAGGCCCCCCGATGCTTTGGGTACTTCAAGTGTTCCCTTCTTTTCTCCATTAGCTTGGGCCTGCTTCTGCTCTTGCAACCTCCGTTGTCGCTGTCGGTCCATGTTGCGACTTAGGATGTTGGTCATAGTCATGCGTGGGCCAGCCAGCTCGAAGTGGTACCCGAGCTTAAGCAGTGTGGTGTTCTCCTTCAGTATCTTAGCCATCTCCATCTCAGTCTTGCCACCACAGATGTGGCGTTGGTTATGGAAGCGTAGTTCAGTGAGGGTGGAGTTGTGCTGTAAGGCATGAATCAGGGCAACGATCCCCTTGCTGGTGAGATGGTTGGAATCTAAGTTGATGCTGATGACTGTCTTATTGGCACGCAGCATCCCTGCAATGGCATAAGCCACATGGTCATCTGCCCGGGTGTTAGCCAGAGCAAATATCTTAATATGTGTATTGTCTCGCAGGGCTTCTGCAAAATTAATGAGGGTTTTGGTTTTGATGGCTTCTGAGTTGTTGACATTGAGCTCTGTCATTTGGGGGTCATTGCTGCTGACCTTCTCCAGCAGCTCATCAAACATACTGGCATCCTCATCTTCTTCTTCGTCGTTCTCCTTTGTTTTGGTGCTTTGGTTCCTCCCAGCTACAGGCTCCTCATTCTTTTTGGGCTTCACACCTTCACTGGGAGCTTTTTGTTTCTCTGTTTCCTTTACCCTTTCTTTCACATTCTCCTTCTCATTTTCTTTCCCTTTAACACTCCTCTGCTCTCGCCCCTTTACAGAGTCCTTCTCTTTCACAGAGTCCCTCTCTTTCACAGAGTCCCCCTCCTTTACAGAGTCCTTCTCTTTCACAGAGTCCCTCTCTTTCACAGAGTCCCCCTCCTTTACAGAGTCCTTCTCTTTCACAGAGTCCCTCTCTTTCACAGAGTCCCCCTCCTTTACAGAGTCCTTCTCTTTCACAGAGTCCCTCTCTTTCACAGAGTCCCCCTCCTTTACAGAGTCCCTCTCTTTTACAGAGTCCCTCTCTTTCACAGAGTCCCCCTCCTTTGCATTTTCTGTCTCTGCCGTCACTTCACCCTTTTCCTCCTGCTGGGATCCTGTTCGGGGAAGTTGCATGGCAGACTCTGTCTTCTCCTCCCCTCTGCTTTTGCTGTCATCTGTTTTGCTTTCTTTCACCTGGCTTTGCTTTTCTTCCAGCCTAGATATTAAATCTTTTGTTTTGCTATCCTCTTTCTTCCAGATCTCCTCTTTTTTCTCCCTTTCTTTAACATCTACCTTCTCACTTCGCTCTTTAAGCTTTGAGATCAGCTCTTTCGTCTTGCCATCTTTCCGGCTTTCATCTTTCCTCTCTTTTTCTTTGGCATCTTCTTTCTTCTCCTGTAGTTTGGAGATCAGCTCTTTCGTCTTGCTGCTGCCTTCTTCCTTCTTTTTGCTGTCCTCCCTTTTTTCCCTCAGCTTGCTCTCTTCATTAATCTCCCTCCCTTCTTTCCTCTCCATATCACGGCTCTCCTCTCTGTGGAAGCGGTGGGAAGGCCCGGCTCGGTTCCCGGTATTGTGTTTCTCTTCCCTCACATGGTCGTGCTCACCGGACTCGCTGTTTTGCCTGGTGACCTCCTCACCCTGGCTGTCTGACCTGGACAAACTCCTCTCCTGACTGAGTCCCATCTTCCTTAAGTATTGTTGCTTCAGACTCTCTCTCTTGGGCTCCCCCTGAAAAATTAAACATATACTGTTGAAGAACTTTTATAGGATTTTTTTTTTACTTGGAATGTCTTCTGCAAAAGATCTTCACTAAAGGGTAACCTTGACACACAGAGCTTTGCCACTTGTTCATCTGAGAGACTAAATTAATACAGTATTTAAATAATGATCTTTATACAGTTACCTAGCGTCAAATCACGCACAAACTGTAAGACAAGACAAATGTACAGTTAAAGTTTTTTTTTTTTTTGCATGTTTTGAGGCTTAAATTTTATGTTTTAAAACAGTCAAAGCAGTGATATCACCATTAGTACAGGGACTCTGCTGCCCTACTATATTTATTAAGTTAAAAATACATCTTATGTCTATTTAATGTCCACTTAGAGGCTGCAGATAGTTCAGCAGTTCAAAAAGCATTACTGCACATGAAGTTCCTGCTTCAAACCTCAGTTTCATACTTTTTTGATTTCATTAGTAAATATTTCCCTCTGAGCTTTATTCTGGGCACAATACCACATAAATAATTCTTCAACATTTTACTAGGATTCTGAAACATCAAAAATGAATCTAAATGTAACTCAAACAGCTAAACATTGCAAATTGAGCTATATACAAATGATACGAATACAAAAAAAACTGTTTACACTGAAGTCGTTTTAAATATTCAAAACAAAAAGTTTCCCGTGGGATATCCTTTCACTCTGGATTTTTAAAAGTTTATTACCGTATCAAAAGAAAATTGAACTTGGTCAGTCATTACATACAGTCATACAAGACAGTTCAACCTAGACGAACACTGTCGACCCAGTTCAAATGTTTATTATTATACCAGTCAAAACCACTATTAAAAAAGTAACAATAAAAAAGCAACAGTCTAACATAAAAGGACATAGACATAGTGGGTACCATGGGACATGATTCCTGGGCTCTCATTCCTCCAGAACGTGCCTTTTCCCACCAATTTCTAGGAGTTTTCTGACCCATAATACTGCATTGAAAATGATGTGCATCAGTTTTCATATAAATCAGCACAAACTAGGATAGGGACCTGTGAAAGGTGATGGGTTTGAATCCCATACCCAGCAGGGTAATCACATCACCATTGGGCCCTTGAGCAAAGGCCCTTAACCTCAGTTGCTCCATGGGTGTCGGATGCTAGGTGACCTTGCTCTCTGAACCCAAGCCTTGGCTTTAAAGATAAGCATCTGCTTACATAAATAAAGGTAAACTGTAAATTAAACTGAGCTGAAAAATTTGGTGTTCCGTCTGTGATTTGTACTATCACTGTGGTCAGCAGGACATTATAATTTATTAGGTGCTGATATTGTAGGTGTCACATGTATAAAAAAAAAAAGATTACATAATAGGAACATATGCATCGGGTTCTTTAGTATTTACACTGCTGACAGGGAGCCATTTTAAGCAGTTTTTACAAGCAAAATTAATCTGCCAGGACGCCCAAGAGGCTGATTTGCGAGCCACTATCTGTGCTGCAGTGCAGAGCTGTGGCTCTGGCAGATGTGACCTTAAAAGGCAGTGAGCACTGAAGCCATCAACCAAGGAATTCCACCAGGCTGGGGTTTAGAACCACCACAGATGTAGGTCCCCATTGTTTCAGGGGGCTTCTCAACACAACTAAACTGCTACCACCTTCTTCTTCGCCAGTCCAGGGGACCTCCAAGTCTGAGAACGGAACCCGATGCTGCATACGAATGGCTGCACTCAGTGGGAAAAGCTACAAATCAGACTCAAGGGACGAGTACAGCGTTTTGGATGCATCATACTTCCTTGTTGAAAAAAGCCAAAAGTCTACCTGCTGTACTGGAGGACAGTACATAACAGTAGCAGGTTATAATATGATGTTTGGAGAGTAAAAACAGAAAAAAAGAAAAAGTACCACAAAAATCCACCATCCACACAAAAAGAAGAAAAATGCATATGACCATTGCAAGCATAATGTGATTAAAAACAATGAAGATACCTTGTTGTCCATGACTACAGAAGAACATCATTATAATCCCTTGAACATTTCCAAACAACAGCGCAATATACGCAATCGATATCACAAAACTGAGTTTTTAAACACTCAGTGGTTAATAAATTGTACCTGATTGTTCTTATTAAAAAACAAGTTAATTGGTTCCTGGGATAATCACTGCCTATTCCTCTGTATCAGTCTAATTTAGTCATTAATAAACAAATCATATTATCTCCATTACGGATACACCAAGTCTTATGAAAATAATGGATAGTCGCTGGTTTTATTTACAAAATAAACTAGTACACAAAATGAAATATTTTACATGTAGATTTTAAAAGAACAAAATATTTTGTCATATACTGTTAAGGTATTATATATTGAAGTAACATTTATATCCCCGCCTTTAAATGAAGTGTTATATTACACAGCCAGAACTAGTTTAAAACAGACAAATAACAAAACAAACAACTAGACTAATTTAATAAGCTTTAAATATTTCAGTATGGTTTTGCATAGTGCAAGTCCATCAATATGCTTTATAAATGATAAAATATTCTAGAATTCATTCATGAACAGACTACTTGTCTATACTGCAATCATCTGTACTACACCGAGTTGTCCTTTATTAGATACACCTAGCTAGGACCTGTTTGTTCCTCCAGTACTGCTTCAAGAGTGATCCTGTTGTCTCTCTACACCACTGTTGTACTGAGCTGTTATTTTTGCATTTGTGACCCTCCTGTTAGCTGACTTCAATCATTAACTCAATAATCAATTGCCAAAGCATTCGTAGTCAATCGCAAAACCGTAAACCCTTCTACCCCCTGTCTGCAAAATGTCGCTCTCCCTGTAAAAAAGGCTGGTGAAGTTTCATTAGTGTATGAAAATCCCAGCTGGGTGTCTGTTTCTGAGATGCTGCACCCATCACATTTAGCACCAACAATTAAAGCATATTCAATATCACTTAGATCAAACATCTTGAAATCCTTGACCCTGCCTATGTGCTGTATGTATTCACTTGCAGTCACGTGATTTGCTTTTTGGCGTACCAGGTGTCGTTGGATGTATATTTCATTAGTTTATTTGTGTAAATTTAAATGTTAATATTGAAACTATTAAAATAATGGTAACATTTCACTTGAGGGGGCGAGTAACTTGGTAACTCACTTACAAATAAAACAAATATAGTAATTGTGAAAAACACATGAACCGTTCTGATTGATTAATGATGAACAAATATGGGACCAGTATTCAATTCAAGATTCAAGATTCAAAGAACTTTATTAATCCCAAAGGGAAATTGCTTTGTCTTGGTTATACAGTTGCTCTGATTAATTTACTGGGAAGAAAGGAAAAAAAAGGAAATAGTTTAGGAAAAAGTATTAGAATGGAAAAATATAGATATAAAAATTTAAAGAAAAATACCAATAAGTAGAAGTAAAATATAATAAAATTAAATTAAATATCGCACACATGTTTAGTAATGCACTAGAAATGCCGTGTAGATAAGGAGAAATATTGCACAAATGTAATAGTCAGATATTGCACATGGAACATAAGTTGAGAACAGTAATGCTGTAAAATATTATTATTGAGCAGGAACTACACATAGTTCAAGTCCCGTACTGAAAACATTACAGAGAAGAGTTATATATTTTAATGACCATTGGGAGAAAAGATCTCCTGTGGTGCTCTGTAGAACACAACAACTAGTAAGTATACAACTAGCACTTAATTTCTGGTTATTTAATATATTAAGTATTAATTAAGTGTGGTACTACAATATTTGTACTTTAAAGGTTAAATTAGTCCTCTTGGGGGGGCATTTCTGTACTTGAATACAAGTTGTTGCATCCAGAATACAATATCCACAACTCTGTAATTATGCACAAATGCTGGATTATTGTATGTCAGTTCACTGTAATAAAGGATTCAGGATTAATTCACTTGGACATAATTTGGCCAGAGGTATATTTCCTTCTTTCAATCATTTTTAAAAATAAGCTTTTCCTCACAGCAGTGTGCAGGCTGCCCTCAGGCCCTAAATGTGTTATTCCTCGTCTTCAGCAGATATTTTGATGACAATTTACTGACATTTGATGGCAACTGACATGGTGACATTTTAGACACTATTAGGTCTGATTTATGTACCTTCCTCTTAAATTTAAAGTGATAAGACTAAGGTCCATTTTTTAATGTTACTAATTGAGTGAACATCTAATATGTCTTCAGAAAAATTCCCCTCTGTGGCCTTCTGGGATCAAACACTGCATCCTCAAGGGACTATTACTAACCAGCAGGGCCCTGTGATCTTATCCTATTAAAAGTCGAGTCATGTACAAGTCCTGTAGGTCAAGATGTTGAATATTGATGAGGAAATTCTATCTGACTGGCAGTTTTCCGGGAAACCCCACCCTGGGCCAGCTTCCAGTGGTTATTATTGTTTCATTGGAAATGACACACAGTGTGATTGTGACATAATAATAAACATCAGTGTTGTTGCTATAATATGAAAGCTTGAAAAAACTATTAGCAAGGATTTACACATCAGCAAACTGGAATCTCTAGTCAACTGTCTCACAGCTAAACCCATACCTAAACTCTGAAAACATCATGAAGCTTCTACTTTTTATGATGTTAATACCTCAAAGTGAAAAACAATGTCTTCAACCCCTGAAAGAACAATTAACTGAAATATGACTCATGTAAGGAATAATATTTACTGTGTAAGTTTTGCTGTTGTTGAGGTAATTAACTAATACTGTTTCCAAATCTAACAGAGGTGGTTTTCATACCTCGATTGACAGCTGTCTCTGATTGAGCTTGCTGGTTTCACGCCCAGAATGCTCCACATTGTTACTAACTGAAGGTTGTTTCTCCAGTGGGGTCCTCTTCCTGATTCCGCTTTGCACATATGGGTCAGGATCAGGGTCAGGCAATGTAAGAACCTCTTTCTGCAGTTCTTCCATCTCTTCTGGCGACAAGTTAGACAACAGGTTGTCAATATCAGGGTCTTCGCTCACCTGACGCCCAGTTCTGGTCAGTGCCCTTACTTTCCTCCTGGACATGGCTGCTACCTTAAAAAAAGCCTGAAAGCCAGGTGATAAAGAGATGGGGACTGCTGAGATAGGACCCCTTAAAGTTTTGTTGTAGGTTCTAACCCTACGTCAGCTGTAGCTCCATCAACAAGAGTGCCGGGTCGTTAGCCAAGGAAGTACTGCAGGTGATTCTTTATTAAGTCCTGGCGACTTGGTCTGCGAGGAGAGCCAGCGCAGTCGCAGCGACGCAGTGCAAAAGCCAGTAACATCTGCATTAGCCTGCCGTCAGAGCTGTCGGAGATGCTGACATTCCTTGAAATCCTCCGCAACTGCATGCCCAAATTTAGTACGAGCTTTTTAGCCTTTTAAAGGCAATAGGATGGGCTGAGAACTAGGAGAAATTTTCAAGCGTAATACAAACAAGGGGGCAGTCTTCTATTTTCCCAATAAATTACCAGAGGTTAAAGTATGCCGTGCATAAAGTAAACATGAACATCGAAAATTATGAATGAAGTTTACCGCCTAACAATGTCAAAGCTGAAAATGTATCGCCGAAGTAGTTTAGGGGGTCAGTATTAATTATTAAACTGCTTTGTAATAACATGCTTGAATCGATTAACATATGCGTAACTTACGCGCATTCCGATATCTTCTTAGGAACGTTGCTGCAGGTCTTCTCGGAAATAATGTTAAAAGGTATACGAAATGTAGTGTTTATAATGCCCCCAGCGGTTTTTATAAACTTTAAAGCGTCTATATCAGCCATTTGTGGTAGTTAGGTTAAGGCCGGGATAAGTACATTTTAAAAAGTAATTTAATTTTCCAGTATTACAACATAAGCCATTCACGCAAAGCAGACCCGTACGGCTAATAATCGAGTAGCATGAGTCCCGTGGCAAAACTTAGAGACGGTTATTATGCATTCTTATTTTTGATTAATGTTGAAAGATGGTAAACTATTTTTAATTACCTGAAATTCCTTCCGAAAACAATTTGTGTCGCGTACAATAACATTGGGGACATCTGGTGGTTAAAACTTGAAATCATTAAAGAAAGTTGGAAATATCCCTCTGTAGACCGATCTGTAGACCTATGTGTTAACTTAAAAACAGTTCTGGTCCGGTGTTGTGCTTGATATGAATTAATTGAGTGAGAAATGCAAAGAAATCGGGTTCTAAATATTAAGAGGAAACTACTGAAACTTGAAATTACATTTATTGGAAGTTTTCAAAACACACCACTGGGGGTCACTGAAACCCGCAATATCACCAAGCGTTTAGTTAATGGCCTTTTTATATTCCTAAAAGTCAGTTTTAATAGGTGAGGGGTAATGACACTTTCGTTACCATGGGTACAGTTGGTAAAACCAAAGCAAGGGCTTTTGTACTTACTTACTTTTGTAGTTTTTTCTTAAAAACTAGTAACACAAAGGTCACACATTTTATACGAAAATAAGGTCAATTCCCATGTCATTTTATAATGAATGATAACAGTTCAAATATACATATTAAATTACTATCAATCTATGAGTGTTTTAAGTAATACAGTTTATGATAAATTAATTCACTTTAGGTATCATCTGATGTCAGAAAGGCTCAATGTTTGTGCTGCCTATTAATTTTCAGAAAATGAATGATTTACACCAGATCAGAGTAGGAGGATCAAACCAATTTTTAACAGTTTTTTTCAAAGCCTATATGAAATATTCAAACCCCAGCACCTGGGACTTCTCCATACTTTCTTCTTATTGTACCAAATTATTTAATTTTATTATAATTATTAAGTGGCTGAACAGTTTACTCCATATAATTTAAAACATGTAGTTCCTCTCTTTAACATACCATTCCCAAAACAAGCACATAGGTAGCCAACTAACTGCCTTCTAATCTCTAGGTAGGATCAATAAACTCATGTATCAAACAACATCCACACAATTTCGAGTTGATCAAAATTGTCCTCTTAGGGTTCAGTTGGTTACTGCATTCAACATCATTAATTTTAAATAAAAACCAGTATGTTTGGAAAGGCACTGATTTAGGGATCAAAGCCAGAACACATTCAGAAGCACATTTTGGATTTTTAAAAGCATGACCTGTTTAGAAAAAGCTATTCTCCTAACATCAAGCTCTTAGAAAAGAATAGCTTTGATCATTAAGCCAATTACAACTCTGAACTGAACCAATTATAACTCTGATGCTGAAAAACATTCCAGATGACAGCAGGTCATGTGCCCAAGTCTGTCCTTTTTAGAAATTTATAAAGAGGGAAAACACTGGTACATAAAATCCCATTTGAACTTTGCAAATGGCACCCAGAAGATCTGAATAGATGTGAGAAAAGATTATGTGGCCAAGTGGAAAAAATGTTATAAGTATTTGACCTATCAGCAACGCATTATGTGTAGTAGAAACACACAGAGCACTAAAGAAACACCACTGCTATTGTGGACCACTGTGACAGCATTTTGCTGTGAAGCTTTTTTCCACCAGCATGCCCTGTGAAGCTAAACAGAGGGCAAAATGAATGTAATTAAACAGACGTAAGACTGACAGGAACTAAGCAAAAGGCCAGATTGGAATCTCACTGAGAATCCATGGCAACACTACAAGACATCTAGAAAACTGACAAAAAATGTTCAAAACAAAACAAACACTGCATGATCCAGGTGTGTAAAACTGGTGGAGACCCCAAATAACTTATATTTACTATGGCGAATCGTGTTAAGCGTTGGGTGGGTGGACAGTATATATTTAATTAAGACATTTCAGTTCAAGACATTACAAGACATCTCCATTTTCAACTGTGATTAACTGCTATTACTCAGGGTCTTCAGTTGTTTCAAACTGAAGGCTGTGAAAATCAAAACCGCAGCTGAGAGGAGAACAGGAAGTCCGCTGGGTTGAGAATAATTCATCTGTACACCGTGACAGTGAGCCTAGACCTTCTGGTTCAACCTCATAAAACACAAAGGACTTCAAAGCAATTAACTCAGTGAGATCAAAAATACATATATAATGTTAAGCCTTTCATGCAAAATGCATTCAGAGTACATTAAACATATGTGTGAAAGAACAATATTCCAAGTTAACATTAGTCATAAAACAAAGGCAAGAATACAATTTAAAAATAAAGAGACACAAATTCCTAGTCCCATTGTTTCAACTGTGTGTGATGATTATATACATGTATAAAGAAACACCTCATTAATCAAGTATTAAAAGTCATCTTTACAATGCTTAATGTGTAAGCAATATGGGATAAAATAAATACAAACAAATTTATTTCCATCAGTCAGCTTTTTAGATTGGATTTTAAGTACCAAACACCATTAACAGTTGATCTGAAATCAACATTACTGTTGAATAAATTCAGAATACAGTGAAATCCAGGTGCATAAGTGTATTGGACTTATATCAACATATACATCTGCAGTTAAATACATCTGCTTATTTCTATCAACATATCAATATATTCTGGTTTCAAACCGTATGACACCTGCGGTTTACTTTGAGCTTGTCTTCGTTTAAAATATTAACAGCCATTATCATTTGCTTCTAGTATGGAAGACAAGCTAACATGTTCTGAAAGCATAGTCAAATAAATAGACAGCACACCAGTCAGTAACAGCGTTAAACATGCACCACGGATCTGAGGTTCCATTCCTGATTCCCACCAAAGGAGCCCCCACTTTCAAAAAGAAGAGCAGGGTACTTTTCCAGCGATGTTCAGTCATATCATGATCAGATCAATGACACATAAATGGGGCACATAATCAGGTTAAAACAAGCACGTAAACTTTTTGACAGCCCCCTTTATGTTAATGTTTAACAGAAAGACATATACAGTACAACGCTAAGCTGGGAAAAAAAAGCAACGTGCGGATCTAGGCATCAGCGACACTTGGGGGAGGGGGGCAAGACGACTGACAGACAGATCGCTCTGTCAGCAATGACTTCAGTTCTGTACAAGAGGAGCTCAGCCCAAGTCACGCTCCTTCTCATGAGGAGGGAAAAAAAACCAAGTGGCATATTAATATTCTTTTTGCTAACAAATAAGAGAAGGAAAGCAGAATTCTGAGAAGGGCAGGGAAGCCCTCACTCCCCCCCACACACAGTCTCTTCTCTCTCGTCTGCCTTGACCACAGGAACTCCTGCCGAGTCACTGGCCTGGGTATTGCGGTGGCGAGTATGGTGGTGGAGCTGGAACACATGACATGATGAATCAGGACTTAACCACTGGATCTTACTCATGGACACACCTGTATACAGATGCTCCTCGCTTTACTAAGATCCGGCTTACGATATTTGGACTTTACAAGAGTGCGATAGCAATGCACATTCAGTAGAAGGACCGGTCAGTCTTACAGACGGCATAAGCAGTCACCTAGGGCGCCAGCTTCTGAGTGGGAGCCGATTTTCCAGCCAATTTCACTTTGCCCTGGACAAGGGGGCTCCAGTGGAGATGCTTGTCTAGGGCGCCACATTGGCTAGGACCCATACTGTTCAGTACTCATTAAATTTTGAAATTGTATCTATTTCCCGGCTAGTGGGCTTCCGGGCTTTATGATACTTTTTGCTGATGCTGGCCGAGGGCAGCATCCACTCCCAAGCTTCCAATATCTGCAGCAGCTCTAAGTGTAAACATCTCATACAATGTTTAGCAACATTTTGTTTATACGTGTCTGCCTGGTGTTGCCCCTCTGTCCCTCTCTGAGCTCCTCCATCCATATACACCTTCTCGGTCTCTCAGGTCGGCTGACCAGCTCCTTCTGAGTGTGCCTAGGACTGGTCGGAAGCTCAGAGGGGATCGGGCTTTTGTGGTGGTAGCACCTAAATTGTGGAATGAGCTGCCTTTATATGTCAGACAAGCATCCTCTACATCT